TTCCACTTTATTATCGCTTTCTGGCCCACGTGTGATAACGTCTTAGGAATCTCTAGGTCCTCCAGCACAACTCTATGGTCAATATCTACCAGAGGTTAACCATAGAATCACATGGAGGACCTACAAATGGTAGGAGAAGTAGTTTTTCTCTAGCAATCTCTAGGTCCACCAGACCAACTCTCTGGTCAACTTCCAACAGAGTTGCACTGGAGGACCTAGAGATTCCTAGAGAGAACATATTAATCAAATCCACAAATAATCAAATCTGCAAAAGTCAAAGTCACAAATGTGGAGAACCGACTGTATACCTACATTGATCACATGCACACACACACATACAACAAAAGAGGCCAAATGAAGACAGATGGGAGCAAAGGAAGCTAGCCGTTTCTTGGTCCCAGGAATCCCCACACCTCTTCCTCAACCTGGGCTCTTCATTCTCACTTGTCCTCAAAGCTTCATTTTTTTGAGAAGGATGAGTCTTCTCTGTTCCATTGGCGAGCATCTCCCCTGCCTGGGCTCGGCTTTTGGGGGCTGTAAGTCTCAATTTTGACAGGCATTTATGTTTAACAGCTTTAGCTCCAGCCTCTTTTTCTTGTAATGGCTTTGAGGGACAGTTGCGCCTGGCGTGAAGGCGCATGGCGGTTGCCTCGGGAGAGCTGGGAACCTGGATGTTGGGCAGCATGCTGTAATGGAGAGCAGTTGGCTTTTTGGCCTCCAAATCCCAGAATTCTTTTTTGAGATGGAAAGTGACTGAGGGTCACCCTCATGCTGCTTACGACTTGGCTTGTAATGGCAAGGGAAAGACTCCTGTGTCTCTCTGCCAGCCTATTTCCAGGTGCGTCCTGCTCAAATACTGACATGATTTTCTAGAGGTACAGAAGCACCTCTCACGTCGCAACATTTCACATTGCACAATTAAAGCACTTTGATAAGAGCCAGCGTGGCGTAGTGGTTGGAGCGTTGGACTACGACTCTGGGGATCAGGGTTTCATTCCCTGCCCGGCTGTGAAACCCACTGGACAAGTCACATGCTCTCAGCCCCAGAAAACCTTATGATAGGGTCACCTTAGGATCGCCACAAGTTGAGAAGGACTTGAAGGCATACAACAACAACAACAACAACACTTTGGACCTTTGCAGACTGCTAGAAATAGTGCAAATTGAGTCCAGTTTAACTGCCATGGCTCAGTGCTAGGGAATCATGGGAATTGTATTTTTTCTGAGACATTGAGCCTTCTCTGTCAGAGAGTTCTGGTGCTACAATAAACTACAGTTCCAATGATTCCCTAGCACTGTGTCAGGGTAGTTAAAGTGGACTCAATTTGCACTATTTCTGGCATTCTGCAAAGGCCCTTTGGCTGACATGGCTTTGACCCATGGAATTCTGGGATTTGTCGTTTAGGGAAGGAGCATTTTGAATTCCCTGTTAGAGAGCTCTGGTGCTTCATCAGACTATGAATCCCAGGATTCTATGAATCCCAGTCACAGCAGCTAAAATAGACTCAGGCTGCATCCACACTGCACAAATAATCTGGTTTGACACCACTTCAATAGCCATGGCTTAATGCTTTGGAATTCTGGCAGTTGTAGAACTACAATTCCTGGAATTCCTTAGCACTGAGCCATGGCAGTTTGTGGCGTCAAGGCAGTGTGGATGCAGCCCTAAAATGCTATAAATGTGTAGTGTGAAATGGCCTTTTGTTTTTGTTGTTGCTAAGTGCCTTCAAGTCTAATCTGATTTAAGGTGAGCCCATTAGGGATGTAGCAAAAAAGAGGGGCCCAAAATGAAGGCATTGCCCCAACAAATAAAAAGTATGCCCCCCAATGAATTTTCACCTCAACCCCCAAATTTCTAGTATTACGGACAGTGAGATGTTGAAAATCATTCATACCTGGAAGGCTTGTATTTGATGTGTTCACATTCCCTTCGTAAGTTTAGATTGCCTCTTAACTTTAGATGCCTAGACTGTGTTTCTAAAAGCTCAACTGAAATTTTAGGACACTGCAATGCTAAAAATTTGGAAACTGAAGAAAAATTATCTTAAGAGCGAAAAAAA